AAGCACGAGTTGTAAATGTGTTTGCTTTCGTGTGGTACACACAACTTTTCACCTCTACCAGTAAGAAAATTATGTTTTTAAGGTTTTGTTCTTTATGGCTAGGCAAAGGGTGTGACTATACTGCCTAGAATTTAGTCTATAAATAATCCCGCCAAACAACTTTTCAAAGATGCGTTCAGAAATTTTACAAAATGTCAATATTTAGATGTTTTCGTTCTGAAATCGCCGCCTTTATTGCGACTAGTTTTTGAAATGTTTAGTATTAAATTAGATGTTCGAAATTCAAATTACTTTTCTCCACTACTTTTCTCAACAAGTTGAGAAATGTGATTTGAATTTCGAACGATGGTTAAAGACGAACTTTGCCGACTAAATTTTCGCAGCCAAATAGTTATTTTCAAGCTGGTGAGGTGAAAAAAATATTTCCTAAAGTCCATTCGCTATCATAGGCGCTTTAAGGTGTCCTTAAATAATGAGCTTGATGCGACGTGGTACGCCGTTAAAATGACTGGTATGTGTGTGGATGACTTCATAATATGAACGACAATGCCACGTTGACTATAAGGTTGGTCGTGGCACTATGCTAGCGAATCGACTGTTAATAATAATGTAAATTAAACTACTATTATTCTTTTTTTGGTGATCAAACCTTGATTTCAAAATATTATGTATCAATGCAATAATTGTAGTTGAAAGGGATTTTTTTATACTAACGTACCTATAAAACACGAAATTATTCCCAAAACTAAAAACGCACATAACTTGAACATTTTGTTACACATTTTCGATAAAAAGCCTACTATGATATGCTACTGAAAGCACCTACTAATATATACATGTACGGTACGGTATATGTTTTTGTTTATCAAATAGATAACATTAGCTGATTTATCGTAATTTAATCTGAAAATAATTGAAAAATTATCAGTTAGTCTACAATTTATGCGGAAATAGATGGATCTTCAGGATAACCAGTTCTTAAAATTGGATGACACGTGCGTGACAACTATTATTTTTTTCATTTTCAAACTTGAAAAACTTTTGCCCTTTTAATTACAAAGTTGTGAGACTGACTCTATAGTTCATGAAGTCGTTGAACAACTCGATGTCCCATACGAAAAGAAGACGAATTAAAAAAATAGTATAAGTTGATCCCTTAAATTGGGCGGTGAATTTGCTGGTGATAGTGCAAAGTTCATTCTACAATGAAGAAAATGTCTAGATTTTCTTTCTCTGAAAGTAAAAGCATTCAGGTAAAAGAGACTATCCTAGCCCCAATCCATTAGCAGGTAGACGCGCTTACCTCGCACTCACCTAGATCAAAGTTAATCAGAGGAGCCGACACAAAGCGACGGAAAAGATACCCCATTGTGGCAAATAGTAGTCTTGTGTGGCGTAGCGCAGGGGAAGATGCTCTACTTGATGATTTCACTTCACACTTCGTATCAGCCTAAACTTGAGTCTCCCCCGAGTGCACTATGAGATACAACTCCCCATTTCACCATCCCGTCGATACCAGTCGCTACCATCTGGCTAGAAGAAGTCTCGCTACGCTTGCCGAGGGGTTCCCTCTACTATCGAACTAGCTAACGTTTACTATTTTGTAGATTATTTTCCACAAGATAATAATTTCGAGTACTTGGCAAGCAAGTGGTTCACAGTTTCGCCGCTTGGATTAGTTAACGGTAACACGTCTGACCCGGCTTGTCAGAAGACGTGGGTTCACATCCCACCAGTGGCGCGAATTTTTTTCACTTGCTTCCTTTGTATTATTAACTTTGTAACCAAAAAAAGTTAAAACCGAGTAATTAAAATCAAGTATTCGAAATTACAATCTTGTGCAAAATTTTCAAAAAAATAGTAAACACTCACAAATCGGAAAAAGCTCCATCTATCGTCAACTTGTACATACTTATTGTTGTCAGATGAGACTGTATAGTTTTACTTAAAAGTCATAGATGGCGCTAAAGCTAATCGTAAGTAGTCAAGTAACAAAATATACTATAATATGATCGAAGCAAGTGGTTCACTAATTCGCCACTTGGGTTAGAGCCACCGTGGTGTAACGGTAACACGTCTTGTCAGAAGACGTGGGTTCAAATCCATAGCACACGTCACCGCAACAAATTGCGGTTTTTACAGGTGGTCATTTGTATGTAAATCCAGACGCAAGGTTGTGGCAGTTTACAGCACAGCAACAAGATAATCAAATGAAATCACTTGTCACGGGAAGTGTATTATTTTTTTTGGTATTCAATCAAATCACATAAATAAAATACTTCCTTTTGTACTTTGATGGACAGTGATACAATGTATTTCTTATGTTCGGTATTTAGGTAAATATTACGGAAGTATTTTAAGCGTCTTTAACCTACTTGTTTCTGTTAAAGTTGCCCATTCTTGGTTGTCAAATAGGTACTTACATTTGTAAGTAGGTAGATATTAATTGTTGGCATGTGGTCCTATTTGACCATTTGTAACGATACCGTAAAAAGAAATAAAACGACCTGCATTTTTAAATTATCCGTATATTATTGTAAAGAATAATGCAATGGCTACTGAGACATAGCTTAATTTTTTAGTGAATGCTCGATTTCCTTGGCCTTGGTCTTTGTCTTCTTCAACTTCCGTTCCATTACTGGTCAATTCTTTAATCTGAAAAAAAAAGAAAACTTTTACAAATCTAAATAAACATGCTATCACGATCATCTATTCAAAACTTTCATTCCTATAGTCTGGAAGTGTAGTTAGTGGCATTAGGCATAGTGTTGAGAGTTGGGACGCCGCCAGATGGCCCGATCGGCAGGAACCGACCGAATGACAAAATTGGGAGATCGTTCCTTTTGGCGTACCTTTGCGGGAGATCTACGTCCAGCAGTTAAATGCTATAGGTGATCTGATAAATCGTATATCAATCGTCAACTCAAGACAATTTATATAGGCAATTTCAAAGCAATTAGAATGAATAATCAAACATACAGCCTCATCAATCCAAATGTTGAGGTTAGCTACCCTGGCACTGACCCTAATGGCGAGAGGGTTGGCGCAGCCGTAGCTCTACTCGTACAAGATGATTCTAGCCAACGTCCCGTCGTAGATCAAATGACGCAGTTTAAATAAAGAATTTAACTTACGGCTTCATCAATCCAAATGTTGAAGTTAGCGAACCTGGCGTTGACGCCCATGGCCTTTGGATTGGCGCAGCCGTAGCCCCACGAGATGACGCCGACCAACGTCCCGTTGTACATCAAGGGAAGCAGTTTGGATAGGTAAAGAATGTAACTTACGGCCTCATCAATCCAAATGTTGAAGTTAGCGACCCTGGCGTTGACTCCCATGGCCTTTGGGTTGGCGCAGCCGTAGCCCCACGAGATGATCCCGACCAACGCCCCGTTGTAGATCAAGGGAAGCAGTTTGAATAAGGAATGTAACTTACGGCTTCATCAATCCAAATGTTAAAGTTAGCGACCCTGGCATTGACTCCCATGGCCTTTGGGTTGGCGCAGCCGTAGCCCCACGAGATGACGCCGACCAACGTCCCGTTGTACATCAAGGGACCCCCGCTGTCTGCTGAACAAGCATCCTTTCCTGGAACAGCAAAACGCAGTTTAACAAGACTGCAAATATTTCGATGGAGATCGGAGAAAAGTCGCGGGATGACCTGTTTGAATGAGATGCAGATAGAGAGAGGCCTTTTTGCCCAGGACTGGAACTGTTTCACTAGATTAGGGTCTTGATGACTCGTATAAGTTTAATCATCTACAATAATCCACTTGTATCTTAAACATTTTGAATGGAACCTGTCGTTAATTGTGTACAAGTTCGTCTAGTTAACTTGGTAGTATGTCTGGTTTAAATAGATCACTCACCACCAACACCCATGACTCCGGCACATATCATGTTGTCAGTCACCGTGTAATCAACTTCAAAGCCAGTTTCATTAAAAACTTGCTGCTCTATCTCACGATACCCTTCCCGACAAACTTCCAGGCTCACTTTGTAGACGTCTACTTCTTGTAGTATCGTTGCTTGCTCTGCATCCTGAAATTATATTGCAAACCTAATTTATTTGATCCTTTTTGAAACTTTTCTCTATGTTCAATCTAACGACAAATCTTTTGCAGTGTCTAACGGCTCCTTCTTTAGCAGACTTAATACATACAGATTGTTCGAATAAGGCACCTAAAAAGGTTCCTAGGAAACTGCGTTGTCAAAACTGTTCTTTCACTTACAAGATCAGTCCCGGTAAGACCCCATCCAGCATACGTGACAACAGCGCCATCTGGCACCTCGCTGCCAAAAGCTGGTAACTGTACCACGTTGATGGTGTCACCCAGAGGTAGAGCGTCTTGTAGTAGAAACACGGCAATGTCGCAGTCGGCGAATACGAGCTTGTTGTATTCTTCATGTAATTTAACTTTAATAATTGGAGTCACTATTCCACCTGGAAACATTTTGTTTATTAAAGTTTTCATAACATTTACTAATTAACATCATATTATATATTTTCCTCTTCAATCAGCAATGTCCATGACATCAGAGTGTCATAATAAGTAATGTAACAGGAATATAAAAACAGGAGTTTGGCCAAAGAGCCGGAATTCGTGATTTCATTCTGCCATCGCGGCATCGTCCCAAACAAATCCAGGAATTATGCCGAATTGCACATTATGGTACCATATTCATACCTTCGTCAATAATAGTAGAACCAGCTCTCACGTAAAAGGGTAGGACCTCAATCTCTTCAAATACACTAAAAGTTTAAGAGTATACGTTAAATGGGTAAGATTTTTTATATTGTGATGGTTGCATCCAGAATAAAAATCCATAGGATAATATCATTTCCATAGATAAAAAAATAATTTGTTAACACAATATACAAAATGTAAAGCATAATAGGGATAAAAAATAAAATAGGGAGAGAAAAAAATATTGGGATTCTTCATTTACAGTGCTGATAAATGAATAAGATACTGAAAAACTGGCAAGGTTCAATCGGTGCGTTGATTGCTCAGCGGCAAAGCAGTGGGACGGTACCCCACCTGTCCCGGGTTCAATTCCCGATCGACGCTTGACATTTTTTCAATTTCCTATTTTAATTCAAACAACAACTCACTCCAAACAATGCGCGGCGGATAATCCGACTCTTGCTGTCAAAAGACTTCCTCCGCAAGCTTGGAATTGCACTCCTTCGTCTTCGAAGAGAATCTGAAATAGTAAGTAAATAAACTAGTGTATATTTGATAAATAGTCTATTTTACAACATCTTTATCAATATTGTTGTTTATTATGGTAGATTCGAATATCTACTTCTCACCTTTTCACTTATGTACCTACGTTCAAAATTAATTAATGGCAAAATTAAGTCAAGTCTGTGATGCATAATATTAAGAAACTCGTCGAATCGTACTACACCTGACATCCGTTGGCAGACATAGGTATATATTGCATCTATCATAATAAGTGTATCAGAACGGGCCGGAACGGAACGGAAGATGCGTTCCGCGAAGGTATCAGATAGGTATAGATGAGTTTGTCAATCCGTCCGTTTTTAGTATGGGGAATACAAAATTTCTTTGCGCCTGACATGCGTTACGGATGCGTTAAAAATGCGCAGGAACAAACAAGTGTGGTTACCACACCTTACACATAATTACCTGAACAAGGAAGGGCCATTTCTCAATGGTAGTGTCGTTTCCTCCAATGATTCTATTTACATTTCGTTGATTGACAGTGGACGTTGATTGTCTGGATACTAAAGCGCCATCTACGAAAGTATAAGAAACTGTTTTATGAAAATTATTTCCTAAACTCCATTCGCTATTACAGTGCCCCGACCAGCGTGACTGGGAGTTCAAGATACGGTTTTTTAAATAAGACAGGTCCGCATTCCTGTGCTATTTCTGTGGTAAGTGATGATGCAGACGATGTTGGAACTGGCTTGCCTAGGTAGTGCCTTTTCACCCTTGCCTTGAAAATACCCAAGTACCGAAAACAGATCCGCCGGCAGGGATTTTCACTCCTTAGCCGTTCACATGATAAAAGTTGGGGCAAACCGCTTCTTGCAAAAGAGAGGTACATTAACTACATATGGGTGGAATCCCGGTCGGCGCCGCGAGCTACGCTGGTCTTAATACTTAGATATTATGTTATGCGACCAGTGTAACTTCTCACAATAAGATTGGTCGTGGCACTATGATAGCGAATGGACTATTAATATTATGCTAATTGAACCCAGGGTTGCCAGACGTACGAGAAATCTCGTAACATTACGGGATTTAGAGTGTCTGTACGAGATTCAAGATTAACACAAATCTCGTACTATTTTTTACGAGATTTTGCGTTCTGAGCATACTCTTGTATGGAGCTGAAACCTGGACTTCGTACGCAAAACAAGAACGTCGACTCAACACATTTCATATGCGCTGCGTAAGAAACATCTTGCATATAACTTGGCAGGACAGAGTCACAAACGAGCGAGTTCTAGAAATTGCACAGCTGCCTAGCTTTACCGCTTTGCTTAAGCAAAGACGATTGCGGTGGCTAGGGCATGTGTACCGCATGGAACCTTCGCGTCTACCGCGGCGTGTCCTGCTTGGCGCCGTAGCTAACGCCAAAAGAGGAGTTGGAAGACCGATGCTACGTTTCAAAGATTGCGCCAAACGGGACATGGCTGCGTTTGACATCGACCATCAAAGCTGGGAGAAGCTTGCTGAGAATAGGGATGTATGGAGAAAGCGTGTGTTTGATGGGCGTAAAGCTCACGACGATGCCTGGTTCGCTGGTCTCGCAAACAAAAGGCAAAAACAACATCTAAATATGCATGTGCCAGTCTCTAATTCCACCTTCGTTTGTAGAGCGTGCGGAAAGTCATGCCGCTCCCGTATCGGCTTATACAGCCATGAAAAATCTTGCCTCAGACACTGAATAAATCGTCTGTCACAGACGTATGAGGCCAATGATTTTACGAGATTTTAACAAGTCTTATTTTAGACATTGTAAATGGTACGTTTTTAGCTTCCGAAAGCGCTAAAGGTCCAAACCGTAAAGGTAATTGCGTAAATTTCGAACCATCAAATTAAATGTACGCCAAAATTACAGCAGAAAAGCTATAAGATAAAAAAGAAATATGATTTTATTACTATACCAGATGTCGAATATAATAATAAAAAAACGATTTTAAATTGTTTTGTTTTAAAAATAGCGCAAAGAAAGTGACTACCCAAGTTACATAGTACAGTTAATAGCATAAAATCATTAATTTTCTTTAAATTTTTACGCTTTTACGAGATTTACGTTGAAATTACGAGATTTTTGGCAAACCTGGTACGAGAAAAAGAAATTGTCATCTGGCAACCCTGATTAAACCATGATTTCAAATCGTTTTGTGATGAAACGATTTCAGTTGTGACGTAACTTTATTTATATTTTTTATTTTGATACTAACGTACCTGTAAAACACGAACATAAACCCAATACTAAAAACGTAAGTAACTTGAACATTTTGTTACACATTTTCGCTAAAAGGCCTACTATGCTACTGAACGTAACTACTAACCTAATCATTAATTTGTTTTTGAAATTTATCAGATAGATACGATAGATAACATGTAATGATTTCTCGTAATTTAATCTGGAAATAGGTAGGTACTTAATTTAAATTTTATCAAGTAATCCACAATTTTTGCGGAAATGGCTGGTTTTTCAGGATTACCAGTTCTTAAAAGTGCTACTTATGATGTATGTAAGAATATGATGTAATAATTGCCATCTCACATACAAACTTGAAGAACTCTGACTCCAGAGGTCATGAGGTTCTTGGACAACTCGGTGTCCCACACGAAAAGAATACAAATTAAGCTATCGCCAGCAAATTTACCTACCAATTTAAGGGACCAACTTATATACTGATTTTTCTTACAAATACTAAGAAAACCCAGTATAAGTTGATCCCTTAGTGGATTTTTTGGCGATAGTACAAAGTTCTTTGAACAAGAAGAAAATTTACTATGCCTAGATTTACTATGTCTGAAAGTATTCAGGTAACAGAGACTATCCTAGCCCCAATCCATTAGCGGGTAGATGCGCTTACCTCGCACTCACCTAGATCAAAGTTAATCAGAGGAGCCGACACAAAGCGACGGAAAAGATACCCCATTGTGGCAGATAGTAGCCTTGTGTGGCGTACCGCAGGGGAAGATGCTCTACTTGAAAAGTTAGTTTTCACATTTGACATCAGCCTACACGTATCTGTCTCCCCAAAGTACGCCATAAGATTTAACCCTCCTTTCGCCATCCCAGCGCTACCAGTCCATCTGGCTGGAAGACGTCCAACGCTATGCTTGCCGTGGCGTCACCTCCACTCTAGAACCCGCCAACGGTTCACAACACAGCCCTCATTATAATTGCCGAATTCACCAAGCTTGGCAAGCGGATTGGTGAGATTTGCAGGAAATTAAGCAGGGAACGCTGCTTTTTATCTCCGGGATAAGTATATCCCTTTGTCACTTTTACGGCAATCACGGGTAGTACTGGAATTATTTTAAGTCGTCATCATACAGCCATGGTATTTTTTTAGGTAGAGCTACTTTCCCCGTGACCACAGATAACTTACACGAAGTATAGGTAGGTGCAAGAGTGTAGGAACCTGTGAGATTACATCTGCGGTCTCAAAGACGTTGATAATACACCTTTGCGCAAAAAGTATGAGGTGCTAATGCATTGGTTTTAGTGTGACGTATTTCACAAAGGAAAGTGCCGCGTGGTAGCGGCTGAGAATTCTGCCCCCTATTGTACCTAATCAGGGTGTTTCGTAAAAGAGGACGTAGAGTTTTTGACCTTGGCGACAATATCTGCCGACAATGGTCAACCGTATGGTGGCGGTATTACCACCTACGATAGCATTCCCAAAGAGGGTTGACGTCAGGCAGGCGGCCGGTTGATTTTAAGCCAAATCCTTTTGCAACATAGTTTTGTGTTCAAACAAAACATGTTGCGCTGACCCCAAGTGATTGGGATAAGGGCAGGAAGATATGATCTAACAATGAAGATTTTGAATTTTATCTCACACAGCCGCAATATTCCACTGCTGAACATGGGCCTTCTTTTTAAGGGGATATTTGTCACACTAACAAGTTTGGCAAGCGGATTGGCAAGAGCAATTCAAAATCTTTTAATAGGAGGCTGTCCATGTCCAGCAGTAGAATGTTGTGGTTGCGTCAGTTGCCAGTATTTTCATACAAAATATTGTTCTAAAAAATTGCTCAATACTAAGTAATTTAATAGGTAACTATCGTTCTCAAGTTCTTTGTCAAATTTAATATAAAACATCCTTCATAGATAATCGATTTAGTACGTTTTAAGACGGGCTCGTAGCAAGCGAGTTCATTTCCAAATGAAGAGATTTCCTAATGGAACATGAAGTCGTCCACACAGGTGCAAATTCGTGACCCCTGATTGCAGACCTTTGCTCTGCCGCACCCTGTAGTACAGACTAGACTAGACTCTAGGATCTAAGAGTGCATATAATAATAACAATGTGAGAATTTTCTAGCTATGTATTTAAACTCAATGAGAATGTATTCCATAACACATTTCAGTACCGTAAAACCATACACTATGGTCCGAAGTATGGTTTTACCATATTGTCCGATATTTTGATCAAGTTGCAAGGGATATGACTTCATGAAGAACTAAAGTGTACTCTCACAAATTAAAATGGCGTGGCGCCGATGTGGCGCAGTGGCTAGTATGCCTGCTTGCCACGCAAATGTTCCGGGTTCAATTCCCGGTGGGGTCACTCACAAAGTTGATATTTATCACTTTGTGAATTTGTTCCCAGTCTGGTTAGGACATTGCAGGCTGAACCACCTGATTGTCCGGAAGAAAGATGGTTCCGTGCTTCGGATGGGCACGTTAAGCCGTCGGTCCCGGTTGCTGTCCATGATGGCGGTCGTTACACAGCCATGTCAGAGGCCTGCTACTTGCACGAAAAGAAGAAGAAGACAAATTAAAAGTACTGTGTATCATATCGATGGGTGAAAACGAAAAGGTCGTATCTCGAAGAAGGTCG